GGCCCAGAGCATTTCAGAATTCTTTGCTGCTTTGGATGATCTGAGCTAAAAATTGATCTTGATAATAAAATTATATCTCCTCGAAAATAAGATGATCCATCTCAAGGGGCTATCCTGAATAAATAAATTTCAAATTTCAACAACTAAGACGAAAACTATTTCTCATTTTTGCTGACAAGACGAGATGTGATGAAAATGTCAGTGGTGGACTATCTGACATTGAAAGCTGAGAATGGTTGTGCTTGTAATTATCTTCTCAACATGACGACAAGCTCGTAAATTCCAGTAAATAGTCTGCACCATTTTGTTTCGCTAGCCAACAGAAACACTCACATGGGAGCAGCATCAGCCGTTGGTGCGAGTTGTGAGCTGTAATTCAGCAGTAAATAATCAGCCGTGTGTGTCTGACTGTGGATGGTGGAGCTGCTCAATGGATTTGTGGAGTTTGTTAGTTGCAGTTAGCAGCTAGCTCCGCTCGCAGCCTTCACAGCTTCACCCCGCAGGACTCCACTCAGTCCGGACTGGAGAAGGTTTGTGGGTTGATGGTGTTTGACAGGCAGGTAGGAGGCTCAGTTATCTGTGAGTGTAGCTGTGCTGTAAGTAAACAGTCTGAACTCAGATGAAAGTTTAGCTTGAATCACCAACTCTGTGAGAGGACACCAGTTTAAACCTCCAGACTAACATGTTGCACATGAAGAAACAAGTTATGTTTCTGCTTCTTAACAGTCACATGGATAAGTCAGAGTTTACAATGAACCTGGGGACAAATCCTAGTTGGCTCACGTTGGTTATTTGTTGAGAGCATAAATAGAGATGTTGAGCTTTTCAGATGACAATCAGTAAGTGTGTGCTCGTAAATCAGCCCTTAAACCTGTCACACACTGCTGGAGACATGACACACACATTATTTTAGATTTCAAGTCTCTAGACTGAGACTAAATCTAAAGCAGCTGTCAAAATGAACACTGACAGAAGAGTTTGTGGGAGAAAAACAGCACCAGCCATGTTTGGTTTATAGCAATGTTGTCTTTTATTCTAATTTCCAATAAACATTGAATATATCAGTCCCTTATTTGTACAAAAATACCTGAACAGGATACAATGTAGATCCAGGAGGAGCCGTACAGACAGAGCGAAGCAAAGCACAGTGGGGTTATCTGAAAAAGTGATTACGGTTCATTTGCGCTTTTTTTTTTCTTTCCCTGAAATGTCTATTTGACTTCAGCTTATGATGACTTCAACCCAAAATTAAAACACAGAGTCACCTGCACCTACACTGAGTCACCGCTGTGGATGGGACTGGTGAGCCATGTTGACCTGATGTTAGCATTTTGTTCCAGTGGGTTTCACAGTCGCAGCTAACTGTACATGAGCGCAGTGAGTGGACGGATGGCAACTAAGGACTTGTTCGCAAACAAGAGGCACCTGCTGCAAGAATAGGCTTATTAAGAAACAGAATTAAGAAAACTTTGTTATGCACCGTAAAATCAGAGTAAATGGACAACGTGAAATGAGCAACCCTCGTTAGCTACAGCGGATAATTGCACTACTTGTGATGATTTACAAAAGGCTGCTAAGAATATCCCCACACACCACCGCTTCCCCAAGGGTGAAGCGGTGGTGTGTGTGTGTGTGTGTGTAAGGTTGATAGACCCTTCTACTGTTAGTAAACAGTGACATTTTTGGTGGGCGGGGCTTAGCTGGAGGCAAAACAATTCTCCACTGACATTAGCTAGTGCTAGCAACTTCTGTTTTAGACGATGGAGGAAGATGATGTGAGTGGTGCGTTCAGAAACACTCATTGTGAGTGTGGGAGCGCACTCTGACACAAACTGGAGCGTTGATAAATTGGGAGCGCTGTTTGAATGTAGCGTTGGGTTATCCAGAGCAGCGCACTCTCAGAGTGGCAGAGCGCACTCTGGACACTCTGTCTGTGGAGACGGAGCAGCAGAGCGCCGAGCGGAGTGAATGTGTGATTAACTTAACCGTTGGTTCATTCATGTAGAAATATAACGCTGCGTTTCTTCCACCAACAGGGCTCTCATTTTAGTGTAGAGCGTCAGACTGAATTTACCAACGCACCATGTCAGGTCACTCACTCTCCGGGACCGCCAGTGTTACTTGAATAAGTAAACACTGACCAACGGGACCAGACTGGCCGACCCGTATGCTCTCACTCAGTGGATGGATGATGTCACAGGAAGCCAATCTTACAAAGGAGGACCACACTTGTTTGTTTTGCTATGGAAGCTAACGTTAGCTAATGTGCTAAAAAGTTAGCGTTGCAGAGAAATCCAATCTTCCTCTTAATCCCTCCCCAGTTTCTGATGAGGTGGACATGATAACCCTTAATACACATAACCTTATTCATCCCTACAACAGGAAATACTTTTTCCCTAACCTGATATGAAGTGTGCGCTGCACATGTGAGCATTTTTGATGATGGCCTCCGTCCAGTCCTTTGGTCTTATCACATTTAACTAGGGCTGCCATGATTAATCGACTAATCGATGACTAATCGACTGTTAAAATAATCGGTGACTATTTTAGTAGTCGACTAATCGGTTTGAGTCATTTTTCATAGAAAAGTACTATAAAAGTACCCGCAAATACTCTTACTGCAGCTTCTTACGTTCAGATATTGGCAGCTTTACACACTCTCCCGTGACAGTGAACTAAAACCCTTTGGTGTGAGTATGAAACAAGACATTAGATGACGTAATTTTGGGGTTTGGGCGAGACAGACCGACATTTTTCAACATTTTAACACATTTTTCGATGAAATGATTAGTCGACTAATTGAAGAAATTATGGACAGATTAGTCGACAATGAAAATAATCGTTAGTGGCAGCCCTACATTTAACCATAGTTGTCTTTGTTTTTGTTGACGGGCAGTGGCGGCTGGTTTTGAGCCATGACTCCTTCTATTCTGGCTCCCAATAACACAACAAGACAAACACATTTTAACACTCCTATGTAGCCTACAGCCCTGTGGTGACAAGTCGTGTTTTGCCTCCAGCTAATAGAATAACGTCATTGTGACGTCGGCCCTGAAAGGGTCAATGTCCAAGCATTTACTGGAGTGTTTTCTTGAAAGTAAATGTGTGGAATCAGACGTGACAGAGAGGAAATATGCAAAAGATGCGGTTTGAGAAACAAAATGCCGTCAGAATCGAATGCTGGCAGAGTTGAAGACTCTGTCAGTCTGTCAGCTTATACACACAAGTGATGTTCAGAAATTTGACACACGCCAAAAATCCAGTTTGATCTCTTAAAGAAAAAACAGCTTAATTTAATACTGTATATACTGTGGTATATTCTTTTTATATATATTTATATTTATATATATATATATATATAAAAGGTCCTTTTGTGGCAAACCAAAGAAAATACACATGATGTCAATATACACACAATCAAATAATGGAAAAAAAGGACTAAATAAATCATTCTTCATTTAACACGGAGTTATGAGCAAAAGCATAACGCCCCATACATAGTGATCTGTGACCTAGGTACAGTGTTAGATCTACGTCTTCCATAGCTTCACATACTTAGAAAACAAATGATACTGTATACTGGTATATTCATATACTTGGGCTTGTGTATACGATTGAATTGTAGCACAGTGATTAAAAAAATGGAGGGAGAGGGAGAGGACCCATGTGGCCTCGCGTCCCTCTCTGACAGACAGGGAAGAACCTCAGCTGAAGACTGGGGCATGCTGGGATACCTCCAGCCAAACTCCTGTCTCCTCTAAATCCACCGCTCAGCTCCACTTTACCCGGCCGACAAGCAACTTCCTGTCTCTAAAAGGCAAGTTACGATAACCAGCAGACTTAGCAATCCTGAAGAGTGAATATAACAGTCTGGCCTCCACACACACACACATACATGCACACATATTCACCACAGGGTCATAGCTTACAGGCTGGACACAGGTGGGAGAGGGGGGCGGGGGGTTCAAGCATTATCCAATCCCTGGAGAGAGTCTGCCCTGGCTGACTAGAAAGGCCTGACGGGTGGAGCGCAGAGCTGCTGAGTCAACAGTCATGCGACTGGTTGACCTGCGGCAATGGCAGTGGCTTGTGATGTCAACGACAATACTCGTGCTAACTCTGTTCACCGTGAGTCTGGCACAGGATGGAGCGGAGGTGCAGGTGAGGCTAAGCGGAGGTGCAGGTGAGGCTAAGCAGGTGTTATGTCGCGTGCCTGCAGGATTTTCATTCGCTGGTCACACAACAGCAGGAGAGGGCAGGAAAAGACAAAAGAACTTGTCTTCTCTGGTCTCCTGTCATGTTTTTTATTCTTATAAATGTGGTCCTCTCTTGTATTCTGGATGACCACAGGGCAGTCCTCAGATGCCGTGTTAAAACCACCATGAAATATAGCATGTGGAAACAGCCGTTCTTTATGTTACCACTTGAGGGTGCCGCAGTCGGACACTTCACATCTGATGGCTTTCAGTTAGATTTGTTTAGTATTTAAGTGTCACACTCTATTTTTCCGATGGACCACCTTTGCATAGTTTACCTGCTTTGTCTACTTTTCACTTCATCTCCCAGAATGCTTTTCTACAACAACCAGAAATAGGCATGACCATGCTGCTCTCAATGACATACAGGCCTGAGGCCGCAGAAATTGAGTGAGCTAGCCAAATTGATGATTAATCCATCCATTTTCAACCGCTTATCTGAGGGCAGCAGACTGAGCAAAGCATCCCCAGACGTCGCTCTCCCCAGTGAGGCTTTCCAGCTCCTGCTGGGGGACCCCGAGGTGTTCCCAGGCCAGATGAGATATGTAATCTCTCCAGTGTGTTCTGGGTCTGCCCCGGGGCCTCCTACCAGTGGGACGTGCCCTGAACACCTCCAACAGGAGGCACCCAGGAGGATCCTGATCAGATGTTGAACCACCTCAACTGACCCCTTTCGATGCAAAGAAGCAGCGGCTCTACTCCGAGCTCCCTCTGGATGTCCAAGCTCCTCACCCTATCTCTAAGGCTGAGCCCAGACACCAGAGAAAACTCATTTCGGCCGCTTGTATCCACGATCTCATTCTTTCAGTCACTACCCAGAGCTCATGACCATAAGTGAGGGATGGGACGTAGATCGACCAGTAAATCAAAAGCTTTGCCTTGCAGCTCAGCTCCATCTTCACCAGGATGGTCCAGCGCAATGCCCGCATCTCTGCAGAAGCCCCACCAAACCGCCGATCCATCTCACACTCCATTCAACCCTCACTCGTGAACAAGACCCCTTTCAATGCCAAGGAGTAACAGCTCTACTCCGAGCTCCCTCCGAATGTCTGATCTCCTCGAACTATCTCTAAGGCTGAGCCCAGCCACCCCACGGAGAAAACTCATTTCAGCGGCTTGTATCCACAATCTCATTCTTTCGGTCACTACCGAAAGCTCTTAACTACAGGTGAGGGTTGGGACATAGATGGACCATTAAATCAAAAGATTTGCTTTTTAATTTTCTTAATTAATCGAGGAATCATTTGGTGAATAAAATGTCACAAAACTCTTAAAAATGTTTATCACAATTTCCAAGATACTCGGTAAAGTCTTCGAATTGTTTTTTTTTGTCTGTTCGTCGGTCCAAAGATATTCAGTTCACTTAAATCTTACTTAAAAGATGCAGAGAAGCAGCACATGCTCGCTGAGAACCTGGAAGCTTTATATTTTTGGCATTTTTTCTTAAAAACAGATTACTGAAAATCCAAATAGTTGCCAAATAGTTTTGTGGTGACTAATCAATGAATCTAAAATAATAAACTAACACTAACTGACGACACGCCTGATGACTTCAAGGCATTCTGGTCTACTGAGGCTACTGCTGGTGTGAAAATGACTTCCTCTACTTCTATCGACATGAGTTTCTTCCTGTTTGATTGTTGTGGCTGTTCAAGAAAGACGCCCTCACTGTTTGGAAGTCTAGGACTGTTCAACACTGATGTTACTGAACTGCAACATGCAGCTGCTGGAAAAATCTGGATGTGATGTTGTAGTTTAGCCAGTTATCAGCAGAAATAGGATTCATACAGCAGCACGTAACAAGACAACAGACCCAGAAATGCAAGGCTGCATTACCAACACCTGTTTTCTAAATCGTGTTCAAGTTGATTTTTACTTTTGGAAAACAGTTTGACATTTTAGGGAATTGCAAAGACTTTGATGAGCAGACTGATACCACTGTCATGTCTTGAGTTATTTGGTACAATAAGAGAGAGGACCCCAGATCACACATATTAAAAAATGGTAGAAGAATACTTCACCCACAAAACTGTAAATTTGTGAAGAAAACTCTGTTTTTCTAGAATGCCTCCACAGTGTACGGAGAATCCAAAAAAGGCAAACATTCATCATGAATTGAAGTAATCAGGGTCAAAGGTTTTTTTTACCGTGGAAGCACACCAGAAAAACAAATTCATGAATTAAAGGTAATGAATGGTCACTTTGCAGCTGAAGAATTCCTTTAAGGATAAAACAACAAGGTTTAAGACTCATGTCCATCGTGTTCTGCACTGTAAACATGAAGCTACTGTACAGCTAGCAGCTGGTTAGCTTAGCTTAGGAAATCATGTCAATAGTCGAGCACAGAACCCTGGTTAAACTACAAATTGTTTCTACAAGATATAATGTGTTAACTCATGAGCTGTACAGATGTGCACAGGAGGATTTTTGTAACCTCCAGACAGCCAGGCTAACTGTTTTCCCATGTTTCCAGTCTTTATGCTAAGCTAAGCTAACCAGCTGATGGCAGTAGCTTCATATTCAGCTCACAGTCATGAGTGGTATCACTCTGAGCATCTAACTCTTGGCAAGGAAGTGAGAAAGTCCAAAAATGTTAAACTGTCCATTTAAGATCACCACTAACGCTCTCGATGTTACTCCACCCACTTGAAATCTGAAATACGTTACCGTATGTGCATTAAAATATAGCTTCAATTTCATACACAAGGATAACAACTTTCACTTAAGGCAAGTGAATCTCGTTCCACTGCATGTTGACACACAATCAACTGAGTTCACATTTCAAGTCATTTGATCAATTCCATACCAAAACAAACAAAAAGAAAAACGTTATGGGAGTGCTTTTGTTGATTTGTCTTTTGTGGAGAGAGGGAACAGTGGTCAGGATCCGAACACGACAGCTCCAACCCATCGATATCAAATCAATAATCAACATGTGCAAGCAGTGAGCTCAGAACAGACTTAGGAAAAGAAAATGACATTCAAAGACAAATTCACCAACAGATGTAACCCTTTCAAATCTTAAAAAACGGTAGAAGCTTGGGGTGGACGCACTTTTCAGGAGTCTATTTAACAGTCTTCCTCCTCTTCCTTATGGTCTTGAGACGCACAGTTGTTTTCACCAAAGTGTGGCCGTGTTGGTTCGAGCCACACGGAGGTCCAAGATATCCCCAAGCCTTCCTGAAAGGCACTGCATAATCAGCCCTGACTCTCTTTGCTCCCACGCCACTGTAATCCAATCAGAACTGCTGGAAATTCACATGCATGCTTTTCAGAAGGGGGGTGGTGGAGGAGGAGGACGACGAACAGAGAGCAGGCAGCTTCATTTAGCTAGAGGGAACAGCTGTTGTCTGTCCGCCCGGGAGTGCAAAACTAGTTCTGCATTGAATCAACAGTAATAAAACAGCATTAAAATGACATCAAGTAATCAACTCTACAAGAGAGGCTCGTTCAGCCTTCCTGATACACATTCCTCTGTCCTTTCAGCAAACCCTCCACTGCTCTGCTCGTCTTGCCTTTAGCTACTTCTCTCTTCTCTCCTTACTTTTCTCTGAGCTCCTGTGGAGGAGGAGAGGCGGGAATCGGGGTTGCACCAAGGGATTGTGGGACAGGACACAGCAGAGAGGCCGCATCGAGTTCGCTCGGGTGTTGGGGTTGGAGGCGGGGGGCAGGGTGTCAGCTTATCCAGACTGGACTGCACAGGTTGAGAAAACTCCTGGATCGAGTTTGATAAGACCCAGAGAGGTTCCCATCCATCCCTGATGATTGATGAGGAAGTCAGAGGGTGGCGCTCCCCGCCCATGAAGGGGCGAGGGTGGGGCGGGCACCACAGCTTATCAGGCCTGGAGGATGAGGGAGGCTGGAGGGAGAGTTGAAGGGTGAGGGACTCTGAGGGAGGTATCCATCCAGGAGACCCGCAGCACTCCTGCTGAACCTTAGCTAACGTATGGTGTCTCTCCAGGGTCAAAATGGCAATGACAAAACAATTGAGTCTCCATGACAACATCGCAGGAGTTGGGCGACTGCTGGGTCCACAATCTGCACGCTTGAGCTGTCTGAACGGTTCACATTCAAACATCCAAGCAGCGGTAAGGCTGAGATAAGCACCGGCGCACTGGAGAAGTCAAACCACCAGTGCCAGCTGAGTTGTTCACATCCCCGAATCTCGACCTAACTTTTCTCGACCTCATTGCGTTGGTGAGGGAGGGGCAGATGGGGGGGTGGGATCTCAGGGTGAGAGGTGTGCAAAAAAGGGGTGGAAGTGTTGGGGGTGTGGAGTGTCACAAGGCCACGGCGGTACAGGGGTGTTTGAGCTTGCAGGGCAGCACTCCTCTGTTGAGCTGGTAAAACTCCACCAGGTGGATCAGATCGGTGAACTTGGTGGTGCCGTCATCGAGGCTGAAGAACACCTGACCGTCCTCCTCACACTTCAGACCAGAGACAGAGGGAGGAGAGAGGACAGTTAACCATCACATGACAACAAGATGTGTACTTTCTTTTTAGGGCTGCACCCTGACTAAGAATTTTCCTAGTCCTAGTCTTGCGTGGACACTTCCTGTGTCTTTCCTTTCAAATTAAAGTCACACATGGTCCAGTCATATAGGTTTGGATTTATTCTGACAAGGTGCAGCTCCTGATAGAGCTTCACGTTTGTTTGCTTGTTTTGTTTTCTGTGACTAAGCGACCAATGAAATCTTGCCGACTAATGACCTTTCTGGTCGACTCACGTTTGGTTGACTGTTAGGGGGGCAGCCTTAAACTACAGCCATTGAAAGTCTGTAGTTCTCGGCTCCCTGGTAGGCAGTTCCTCTAAGGTAGGCCCCAGAACTATTTGGTCCGAAGACGCCTGAAGTATGTTGAAGTAGTAGAAGTATGATATAATTCAGGTGAACTGGCCCATTGAAACATTTCGTTATTCCTTTACTGTAACAAAATAAATTCAAACAAATGGCTGCCCAGAAGGAAGAAACCTTCTTGTCAAACCTTAAAAAGACATGGTATGCTTTGGAAAATGGTGGGTTGTGGTAGCCAAATGAGTCTTGTAAGTTTATACCATCAGATGAATCTGTATCTCAGAGCATTTAGAAAAGTAATGTGACTGACCGGTAGGATCTGGAAGTGCTTGATCTTCTGGTGTTGGCACAAGGTAAGCACGAATGCCTTGGGGTTACTCTGACTGTCCCGCAACAGGAATAACCTGACACACAGAACATTAGAGAGAAATGGTTAATCTTCTGCATGAAATATATACATATATATATATCACTAATATATCTTGGGGTGGGTTTTATACTATTACAGTTCAAATATATGCTTCTGCATGATTTGAGGGAGCTGTGGCTCTTTGAGAACCTTATCTTAATCCACTGTGTAAAGGCTAAATGTACGACTGTCAAACCAAAAAGCTGATTTTAGACACCAACATTTAGAGATCTAAGCTTTTCTCGGCAGCAGTGACGTCTCTATTTTTCACATTTTCTTCACGCACTTCTCGTTTGACAAGATAATCTTCACTTCACTGGCCTCATTTTCTGGAGCTTTCTACTGCATTTCACACGAGATCACATCACATCACAAAATGTTCACACCAGCCTCCCAACCTTTTCACACTCATACAGTTGTTCTTACCCGTCTACTTGGCCTTGTTGGATGATCATTTTGTGGGCTTCCTCTCTCATGATGCGACCGTGAAACCACACCTGTGTCCTGTGGATCACTGAGAGACAAACATCTGCGACTCAGTGTTTGAGATTTTGCTTATATTTATATATTCATTATCACTTCACCAGGGCGGGGCAAGCAAAACTGAACACTTGGGGCCTATTTCAATTATGCATTTTTGTTAGTGGTCTAAAGTGAGCGTACCTGTGCTCAGAGAGGATGGGTGCAGCGGGCTGGGACTGCCCAGGACATTCATACGCTGGCTCCGTTTCTATGTGGAAGAAAGGGCACATATTCATTATCATGAGGTAACAACACATTGTTTTTGACTCGTCATACCTCCATGGCACACTGAAATATGCTGAAACAGTCAGTACAGTGAACAAACATTACAATGCTCTGCAGTAACTGTGATCTCAGCAGCAGTTAAGTGGAGCTGCTGCAGGTGATGCAGGGGAAAGATTACTGAATTCAAAATGGAAAAGGCTTCTGCACAATGATACTGTTCAAAGATGTGTGTGAAAGACAAACTGTGATCTCAGATGACTTGTGACAAAACATACAGTACGACAGGGGAGATCAGAGTCTAACAGAAAACTAAACTAAGGGAAAGTTAATGATACAATGACATGACTGGAGCTCAAATCTGTCCATGTTTGGCTTCAGATTTCTTTTCCTCCCCACGTATCATCCCCCGTCTTACCCTCCAGGTCTGTCCCTCCTCCAGGGCAGCACTCTGAGCCTCAACGGGGTTGTCGATGACGCGTCCGGTCCGCCCGGAAAAGTCCATGGCGACCAGGGAATTCTCAGATACACTCCGCTGTAAGGAGACGTGGCAGGGTGGGGGAGGGGGTACACAAGGAGCAAGGGGTGGTGATGGGTGAGGTGGGGGGGAAGACAAGGGTCAGAGGTCAAACAAGCCAGACGCACTCACTGGGGCATGACAAATCCTGTCTGCACACAGACCCACTTCAGTCAGTCCACACATGAGGAAAAGCACAAGGCTCTGCTGGCTCTCAGATTTTCTTTTGTTACGAAAACTTGTCCTTCATCTGAATATCAAGTCAATTAAACAACTGCGCTTCTGTCTGAGCAGAATTTACAGGGTCTATAATATTATGTTCAAAAAGTTACAAACTTTTTCTACATTCTGTCACTAACATTACACTTTATGAGACCTTTGTGATATGATTTATTTATGGACTGCAGACAAAGGATAACATGTTCATGGAGAACACTTCATTCCAGCAACAGACTGTATAATTAATGTGGACATGACAGCGCCCCAAAAATGAAGTGCTCCATCACCCGCTGAGACCTGTACTACGAAGCCAGTTTAACTTACCCAGGATATCTTTTGTTTATCTGGCTTCACTAACCCTAACACTGGCTGTTTGGATGACCGCTATCACGAAGCTGGTTATCAACTCGCTCAGTCAACTCTGAGTTTTCCTCTCCAGCCATCTTAGGTCCCATTCACACAGAACGTGTTTTAGCAGCTGGAGGCGCCTTTTTGTAATTGTTTATTATGAGAATGAAGATCTTTGCTCGTGGTTTTTGCGCTGTGACGCGCCTTGCGTTTCTGTGCTCAAGGTGCCTGGCGTTTTCGCCCCATGTTATCTAATTTTTGTCATCTTTTTCCCATTGACCAGTCGGGTGATTTGAGAGGCGGCCCTTCTGTGGTGGTCACGACAACAAGTTTACAGTTGGTAAACAATGCAGGAGAAACTGGTGGTAGCAGTTGCTGGATACCCAGAGCTATACGGCCTGATGATAGACAGCAGGTTGTCAAACTGCCCCTGAGTCGTCCTAAAATCTGCCTGTAAACGTCCATGATGGAGGAGAAGCTCCTGGACCAACTGGTGGTACTCCCCATGATCCAGCCTCTTTTTTAGGGTCTCATGTACCCACACAGATCTCTGTTTATCTGCTGACAGCCTCTCACCCTCAACCAGAGCTACAGACAGTACCCTCTGCCTCAACATGGCAGCAGCTACACACTGATTACTGCAGGATACATACAATAGATAAATAAACGGTAGATTAGATTTTTCCTGAGGATGGTTCCTGTCATTTAGGTAGCTGTTATCATGCTGATGGTTGAGTGTTCATTTTTCAGATTAGTTTGGTTTTAATTAGTTATTTGATGCTATAAAAGTGACTTTGACGTCACAAGCGACAGCTGTGTGTGCCAATCAGTGTGCTCAAGATCAGTGGCTCTGCTCATGATTGGTAGGACGGGTGTGTGAGCAGGAACTTGACTTCAGCGCAAGATACTCTGGCTTCCTTTTTGTGCAGTGAGAGGAAGTGGAAAAGCATCGTCCACTCCCTTTACAGTCATTGGTCTGAACATGAAACACCTCCTGCTGTGAGTTAATTAATCTCAGCGTAACACAACATACCAGTGTGCAGGTTTCTTTTTGTTGTGTGTGCAGGATTTAACACCATACGTGTGTGTGTGTGTATTATGTAAACTCCTGTAAATAACTAAGATTTAACATTTAACATTTAACAAATCCTTCTTACGCTAAATGGAAAAGTGATCCAGCACACAGTGTTTCATGTTAAAGAGACCGTGGCACAGGGAGAGTGACTCCAATTCACCATCAGCTCATTAATGGATCAATGTGGACTGGTGTTGGCTGGGTTGTAAAGAGGGGTTGTAAGAGGGGTGACGTCACGGAACAGATACTCACCACAGGAGCAGAGAAAGGTGAGAGGTTAGACTTCCTCTGCTGGGGACCGTTGTAGCTCTGATACAGTACTATCCCATACTGTGAGGAGACAAGAGGAGAGACGGCGTCAACGCGAGTTTCCAAGAGCTCACAAATCAAGTAACACAATTTACCTATTGAATAACTATTAGGTTTGATACCAAGTAGCCTGAACTGTATGGTAATATCACTGACAGCCTTGGATTTAAAGGGACAGTTCAGATCTTTTAAAGTGGGGTCATATGGGTTACTGATCTACAGACACAGTACGTTTACATGACATTAGAGAAATCAATTCATTGTGTTAGTTCATCTAAAACTGGACTTTCAAAATACATGTAAACCAGTCAACCAGACCCTAACTGGCCGAGGCGTTCTGAGCATGCTCCACAGTTTCCACCCCAGAAACAGAAGAAGTAGCCGGTAACAACATGGAGAAATCTACATCCACAGCCATGACTTTTTGGACGGACCAAATGTACAGAGCTGTAAAGTTGTCCACCATGGTACCAGTTAGCTGCTAGCTAACCGTTGCTACCCCTCCACATCAGCACGTTGCTTAGCTTCCATGTCAGACTCCAGCCTGCTTCTCCAACTGACGTCTACTGTATGTAATACACTGACTATGGATAAGTACCCCATACAACCCCACTTGAAAAGATGCGAACTATCCCTCTAAATCCAATACCAACGTATGAAGGTAAAGGAAGTACTTTGAGCAGTCTGAAGGCAGTCATCCAGCAGGTCCTGCTCTGTTCGTCCTCAGCACACAGCATCTTCAGCTCCTTGCAGTCACTCCTCACTTTGCTGGGCTGTGAACCAAACAGAAGACACAGTGGGGCATTAGATCATCATGAACATGAAAGGCCTCTTCTGTGGTTTCTGGCATTCCAGTTTTCAACACATAGAGACCATCAGACCTGTGACATGGCAGGGTAAGACCACAGCACAATGTTAACACTGCTGTTTTACAACTCAGTGCAAAGACTGAGAGTGACTTGTGTTGATCAGTGGAACATTGTATGCAATCAAATGCATATCATATACAATACTTTTATAATTTAGTTTAAATTGTCAACTGATGGAGCAGCTGATTGATGGAAGGCAGTCAGCTGATAGATCACATGATTCCTTTCTATGCACCAATTGGTGAATCTCGTTCAGGGCGTCCTATTTAAACTGCTCTGGCCTTCCTACTGTTGCTGCTTCCTCTGCAAGCCGCTATGCAATCAACACATTCTCACGCATATCAACATTTGGTCATGGACCTTCTACATCCAGATACTATGTGAAAGGTAACCTGGGTGTGCTGGTTGTTGACATTCTTGGGTGTCTTCTTTCAAGATACACTTATGTTTCCACAAGAAATGTACCATTTACATTCAGTCTCTTTCAAAATAAAAGCACTATGTCAGTACAACAAAGCAAATTGACGTTTTTAACGCATGTGGTTGGGTCTAGGAAAAAAGAACATGGTTTGGCTTTAGAATCTTATGGGACACGAACACCGCCCTCTTGGGTGAAAGTCGGTTTTGTTGGACCCATCCACCACCTCTCCCACCCATTCTGCTTGGACTTTTGTTGCCTAAACTTTTGTTCTTGTTCTGCCCCGTTTCCCCCGATGCCTCTGAGTGCCGTTAAACTATAAAAGCAGCTGCCCATATATCATGCCTGAAAGGACTGCTTTTTTCAACAGTGTCTGACGCAGGCAGTCTCTACCCGAGCGCTGGATTTCGACAACTGCGGTGTGAGACCGCGTTGTTGCAACCCGCCTCCACCCCAGCTCCTCCTTTTCATGTTGTGTCTGACTTATCAATGTCATTTCTGTTTGTCAATGATGCTGCTCTGTTCTGTTCCTGGGGGGTCTTTGCTGCTGCTCTCTCTGCCTTAGGCTTTTCATGTAGGCGCATGGAAGGGTAGAGAGGTTTGCTCTTTCTGCCACAGGCTGTCCTCATTTGTATGTTGAAGGGCAGAGAGGTTTGCTCTTTCTGCCACAGACTGTCCTCATTTGTATGTTGAAGGGCAGAGAGGCATGCTCTCTCCGCCTTAAGGCTTTCGACCTGGGCGCATGGAGGAGGCTTTCTGTGCAGGCCCAAGAAAAGGCTGAGAGGCCCCAAAATAGAGCCATACCACCAAATATAATACTGCAAATGGAAATAAGTTTTCTTTGACTAAAGTGTTCCTGACTGAAGTGGTTTTTTTTCTGTCAGACAAGGACATTATTTCTAAGACTATAAGCTTGTCATGTATTTCCCTTGTACCAGGTGACACCTCTGACAGACAATAACTGACTGAGTTTATTGCGTCCTCATTGCGAAAACCAGTATATCAAAGTCCAGCTGGTGAGGACCAGTATCACAGCACAGACTCTCTCCTTTCCCCTTCGTCAGTAACAAGGACGTTAGACACACTGCTCCTTAGATACAACCCCTACCAATAAATTAATTCATGTCACCATAGCAACAATCCAGCCACCCCCAGCCGCCAAGTAAAATCCCTTACACAACCCTGCACCGTCACCCCCGCTGACAGCATCTGACACACTGGTCGTTTTGTGTGTGCGTGTGTGTGTGTGTGTGTGTGTGTGTGTGTGTGTGAGTGAGGTGAGGGGGTTAGGCGGGCCAGATTCCCTGTACCATCCTGGCTTATCCCAGTGGGCTTATCCCAGATCAGCAGGTGACCCACCACAGATTACTCCTGGAGTGGGACACACAGTGCTGAGTGTGTGTTTGAACCCCCGCTGGGCATTTTAACCCTTGTGTCCTCTGACACACACACACACACACACACACACACACACACACACACACACACACACAAGACACAATATATGCAAAGAGGAAGCAGGTGCATCTGTTAAGATCACGTAACAGCCAGTGACAGGACGGCTCGATGACACAGTTTCTCTTCTTTCATGGTAAAAAGTCAAATAATGAACCAATCAAACCAACCCAGCAGGTTTATTCAGTTTTTTTATGAATACCAGTCTCCAGCAATGGATCAACTGAGCTGCTCAGGTTGCAGTGATTTCTCATGTGTTACCTTGATGCAGAACTGGTAGTCTGTGGGAGCGTTGTGGAGTTTTCTTCCTGTGATGATGGTGAAGATGTTGCTGTCCTCCAGGTCTGACAGCAGCTGCAGGTGTCGAGGCTCCTGTGAAGTTGTGGGGAAGCAAAGGGAAAGAGATGTCAGGTCAGCAACAAGCTTTATTTATATGATTAAACTTCTTATTGCTTTAAATGGTACATTACAAACTTACAACTTTTAAAATCAAAGCAAAGAATAATAATAGGAAGGAAAAGCAAAAGGATGAGCACATTCTTCTTGGCAGTGTGTCACTCAGGCTGTCATGCCACATCTATACCACGTCATATTGCGTCTTATGCGTCTTATCCTCTTACCATAAACAATTATATAATGCACACAGAGCAGATACAGGACCCAGAGATATCGACTGACACGTAAGGCCCAGGTCAGACCAGAGATTTTCGACGAGACAAAACCGTTTTATAACGTTGCAGAGAAAAGTTGACTCAAGCTGGCTAATGATGTCAGCTGCAACTCGGCTGGTCAAATCGCTGGCGGCTAGTTTCAGAACGTAAAGCATGTCACCTGTTTGAAAAGCCAGTCGGCTTGTGGTGATATCCGCTGGTAGAGTCAAAATGGCCGCAGATGGCATGCTGGCTTGCTGCAGCAGGTGCTCCATCACTATCATTCAGATTTTAAGAAGCTACAAATTATATTCAGCCACAAACTAAGTGAAAAGTTGCAAATCATAACGGAAGTACAGAGAGTTGTTGACTAGAGATGATATGCCGTCTCATGGCGGTCACTTCCTGTCGACGTTACAGATCAGAAGCACAGAGAGTTGTTGACTAGAGATGATACGCCGTCTCATGGTGGTCACTTCCTGTCAACGTTACTTTTTGTTTCATCTCCAACAGCCATCATCCTCCCTGAGCCCCAGCCTTGACATTTTCGAAGGAGTCCAATAGTTGCTATTTATTTTTCTTAGTAAAATTAATTGTTTCTCCATGTCTCGGGCTGTGGAGTACCATGACTGTGCTGCTTTTGTTCAAGCTTTCCTGTTGATAGATATTCCAATATCCTTTTCCCATGTACACATAACATCCTCAAAGTCTGCGGACTGATGTTTTCTAAGCTCGTTATAAAACCTGTATGTTCCCTACGACAAGCTTTTTCATCACTTTGTTATTTTGCTTAGGCAAAATTAAGTTATGACAATCTAAAAAAGAAGTTGAGGTTATCCGAGGTGACAGAAAAACTGTGATGTTGCAACTGCAAATAAAATGAAGCAGAGAAAACTTGAAAATTAGCAACTCAAGTAGTTTGTCAGTCATGAAATGTGCCGGTCGAAACCATCCCCACCAATTTGATCTCCCTCATACCAGTTTCAGTGGCTGTGGCTAGTTAGGGTTGTCCACTAATCGGAAGATCAGCACTTTGATCTTCGAAAATTAGTCCCTGATTCAGACCGAAGGAGACAACTCTAGGTCTGAAAGCATCAGTACAGCTGTAACTCATCACCTTGGATGTTCCTTTAGTGGAGTAGTAGAGCCCAGAGCGTCGCAGGAACATGTAGAGTTTCTTCCAGGACCTGCGTCCGGGCTCCTTCACGTACAGATAACCCTGGATCTCAGGACAGCTGCTGGAGTTCAGAAAGTTCTGCAGAAAAAACACACAGACAGCATCTGTTGGGAACACTGCTGCACGGGAACTCAATGTACCAAAACACAAATGTTTGTGTTTCATCCTGGAAACTGCATGTTCACGAGTGATTAAAAAACGATCGTGGTTGGAGATCGTGAGGCAGGTTTTTGTCTACATTCCTAAAAATCTGGCAGCAACAACAGTGGGTGAATGTAATTAGCAGATTTCAGGGACAGTGTGTGTGCATGCATATTTTTGGACTGCCAGATGTCCTCACAAAGATCAAATCCTCCAGAGTAGGAGCATCTTCCTGCTCTCACTCTTTTTTTCAGAGTCAGGATTTAGGTTGAGGATTATAATTAGATATAGGATTAATTTGGTGTTTAAGTGAAGTCTTAGGTCGTGAATCAAGTGTGCTATTCAAGATGTCCCCTCACTGAGTTATTGCCTCACCTGTAAGAGCTGTGACTGAGGGATTGAGCCATCAGACTCCTGACACCACGCCACCATCTGCTCTGGAAAAAAGTTCTGGATGGAAAAACACAGACAGAGAATGAGTGTGTGAGAAGCACTAGAAACCACATAGTGCATATGCAAGCTCAGAATGGGGTAGTGTTTCTCTATGCAGAATACGTCTCATTGTGAGTGTGTGTGTGTGTGTGTGTCTGATGAGCACAAGGACTCAGAGACAGAGTGGTGGGGGCTAGAGAGGTAGATGAGGAGATGAGGAGAGGAGGAGAGAAGGAGAGAAAGAGAGGGCACTCCAGCCTGGGAGTAGATGCAGTATGATCTCACCCGCTGATGTAATCCCCTTTAGCCAGCAGCGCTACTCTTAGCGTGATTGACAGGCCGCGGCCAGCACTCTGGTGTTTTACTGTGCTCATTACCACAGAGCTGAGGTCACCTGCTGGCTCTGACACACACCTAAATCACCACGGCAATAATGTCACCGTATCCCCGGCCAGCACGCAACAGCAGAGCCCCATGCTGAGTCCACATCAGCAGAAGATGCCACGCAAACCGGCTAAGGCTGACTCGCTGGCTGCCAGAGGCGGCTCTGTGTCCTTAAACTTAAATGAACAGCTTTGCCTATTAGATTTCAACTCACGCTGTTACCCAAACAGACTTCAGGTGAGTGCAAAAGCAGATGGAGCTTCAGCAGGACGACGAAGACAGCGACACACCAACCCACCAAACGTGTATCCTCAGAGACGACAAAGAAAGCACTGTGTATTATGTTAGACTGATATTGTATCAGTGATAAATGATAGAATTTGGACAGTTGCAGTCCATTCTGAACAGACCTGCGACCCACTTTTGGACCGTGACCCATCAGTTGGGAACCACTGTTTTAAACAATAAACAAGACGAGGAGTATTCCAAAACTTTTCCAAAACAGTCTGTTAATTCCAAATAGGGCTGGACGGTATGACCAAAATCTCATATCACGATATAGGTCATTTCATATCCTGATAACGATACATATCACGATATATAGCACATTTTAATCCAATGAATAAGAAGTTGCCCCCCCCCCCCCGATTTGGTCTGAATATTGTCGCCGTCTTGTTGCGTCTCTGCTCTCTCAGTGTGTGCAGCGCAGCAGAGACAGACAGCGGAGTTATATAAACTTGTTATGTTACTGTAATTGCCGTAAAAGCTTCGCGAATTAAAAAGCCAAGAAGAGTAATTTATCAGTGAGATCCGTGCAAAAGATGGACAGACTCCAAATGATGAAAAATATTGCTGTAAAAAGTGTAATTTGCGTCACAACGATATAAACGTGTGAAACGATAAACATTCTTCATTCATCTCGTCACGTGATACATATCGTCATATCGCACAGCCCTAATTCCAAACCATATTCAGGCCTGAAAAACTAATGTCATAAAACTTCCAGAAATTTCATGACCCTGGGAACCCTGATCAATAAAGACTTTGAGGGAATATTTTACGGATGCACAATACATATCAGGCCGATAATGGGACATTTTAATTATCATGCATTATTCCGATAATTAAAATTATAGCCAATAATACGAAGCCAGACAGCTTTCATTGACTTAACACAGGCAGCATCTACACACCCGACACAGTGGGTGGAGGTACATGTGCCTTAAAACTTGGTTTGCGAGCTGCCAATAAACACTGAAGAAGAAGAAGAACAACTGCAGCACGCTGTCGAGAGGGTGAAACATGTCACGGTGTGGACGTCTTTCACAGTTTCAGAGGAAGACAGCAGGACTGCACTGAGAGTCTGATCTCCGACTGCCCTACACAGGTTAGACGCAGCGCTGAAGGACAGTCTCCAGAGTGTTAGCACGAGCTAATTAGCAGCAGCGGCTAAGATCCAACACAAAGCTTTTAAAGGCTCAACTCTGCTGTTAAACTTATTAATAACCGCTAACCGTGTGATGCTACAGTTAGTAATTATCTGTATCGTTACCTCTCTGGCTGCGTGCGTGCGTGTGTGCGTGTGTGTGTGTGTGTGTGTGTGTGTGTGTGTGACACAGCTGCTTGTTTGTCTGAGTTGAGTGTTAATGTGTGAGGTGAATCAGTAGCATGGCTGTTCTACTACAGGTTAAACACTTATTTTTAAAATACAAACATGTGACATTATCGGTTATCGGCCATGAGAAGTAGGTAATTATTGATTATGGGTATCAGTTGAAAAAAATCCATATTGGTGCCTCCCTAGAATATTTTTCAGTGCTACAGCCAGGCTTCCTCATAAAAACACAGTGTTGAAAAACACCGAGTAATTCTTCCAACATTTGGCTGAAGAGAACCAAATGTAAAAATCTGGAATGTTAGCATGACATGTTAGCGATCAGCAGCTCCGATCCAAAAATATCAAGGTTGGAAAATCTTCTGAACCCCAGCTCTGTGTGTGTGTGTGTGTGTGTGTGTGTGTGTGTGTGTGTGTCTGCAAGGCATCATGTGTGTGTGTGAGGCGATGTGTGTGTAGGGGTGCGTGCTAAACCAAGGCAGTCACAGAGATGACTTTTTAGGGATGCAAGAGACTCACCAGGGGGTTCCTGAAGAATTCATATTTGGCATAGTTCTTCCTGAAGAGGAATTTACTGTCGCTGCTCATGGAGGCTTGAACCTGAACCACCAGCTCATGGTCCTCCAGACACCGCTCTGCACGAGGACACAGACAGACCCACAGTGTTAGTCACCTCAGCCGGGTCATGTTCTCCTCGGGGATGAAACCAGAGGCAAACAGATGTTAGGATCAGTGTACACTGCTTCAGGGCTGACTTGTTTTAATATTCAGGAGCACCATAAGAATATAACCGACACTCTAACTGTAGTTTCACTGCTCATTGTTCTCTCTTTCTTTAAGGCTGATGTGCAGCATAACAAGCAGCTCTTCTGCATGCATTTCCTCTCCCTCTTTCTCTTCACGGTTCTCTTCTCTTTTTAATATTGAAAGCATATTCTGAGACGGCCTTGTTGCCAGAGGACCTGGTTTACTGTAAATTGTTTCAAACAGTGTCCTTGAGCAGCAGGAAACAACAACTTTTACATGTCAGTGTGATGCTACCTGGTACTTAAAAAAATCTTTTCCCCATTTTTCACTGGAAATTCGTATAAAATGGAGAGAACTGTCTGCAACACCGAGGAGTTAACCACCTTTGTTAAATCTCATAACTCTCAATGACATGAATTCACAATAAAGGTCACAGTTGGCCGTTCTCACCTTAAAAACTGCATGTTGTGTGAGGCACAAACACATCACCAGTTACTGTATACAATGACGCAGCAAGAAAAAAAATCTCCTGTTACTAAGAGACGAGCACGAGAGTAAAAGGCTAAAACGGGGGGGGGGCTGTGAAAAGAAGAGGCACTATGAGGCCGGGGGGGAGGAGGTGAAGGTGGAGAGAAGTGGTATGAGATGGAGAGAGGGGTAGGAGGAGGAGGAGGAGGAGGAGGAGGTGGTGGTGAGGGCATTGCAGGAAGATGATGTCATGTATTTAGGCTGATTGCTGAGAGCAGTGAAGCCATAAGCAAAGTACAAGCCACAGACAAACACACAACCACACATTAAGAGCTCACACAGGCCTAACCTGCTCACTGTGCACCACAGAGGCACAATTACTTTCTCCCTCTGTGTGTGTGTGTGTGTGTGTGTGTGTGTGTGTGTGCGCGTGTGTTCTGTTTCTTGAAGATCAGGGCATATGATCTCAGTGAGGCTGCTTGGAAATAGATAGTGACAGGATGTTCCAGTTTTGCACAGACACACACACACACACACACACACACACACACACAGAGTCTTGTTTAATTGAGACAAAACACACAGGAACAGACACACACTCGTACATATGTTTTGGTGAAACTGCAGTCGCTATAAAAAGGATCCTGGCTGCAGCTTCAGGGTGGAAATGTCTGAGTCTTTTTGAATTTGTGTGTGTCTGTGTGTGTGTGTGTGTCTGTGTGTGTGTGTGTGTCTGTGTGCGCTGGCTGCAAGCAGGGGAATTTCCTGTGGAGGGTTAAGGAGAGATTGATTGGCCGGGAAGGCTAGGGGCTCGTCCGATGCAGAGAGGCGATTGGCTCCTCGCAGCTCTGGTATGACGCTTTAGATCGGGCCTCTCCCTCCTCCCTCTCTCCCCCCCCCCCCTCACCTCGATCTCTCCCTCTCTGTCTCTCCTCCTCTCTCCCCTCATCTCCCTCTCTTTTTCCCTCCCTCCCTCCTCACCTCACATTCCATCTCTCCAGTGCACTTTTTTCCAGAAACGCAGATCAAGCAGCAAAGCACAAAGCCATCCTTTGACTCTAAAAATACGACTCGCGAGTAGGAAAGCCTCACAAAGGACAAAGACCGACCCGGAGGAGAAATAAATAAAGAGCGAGAGAAAAAGCTTCAAACGGGGACACGGCAGAAGTGAAGAAGCGGAGCATGGGTCCTGTGTTTCTCTTTTTTGTTTTCTCCCCCCGCTGAGCGAATTATTGCGAGGGAACAGGCTTGTGAGCAGAACATGGAAAATGCTTAATCCTACGACCACCACACCTCCCTCCCTTGCCTCGCCGTATAGAAGGCATACAAGCACTCGTGCCATGCTCAAGTGAACATGCACACTGAGGGTACACACAAGAGAGTATCCCCAACCATGCAGAGACACACAAAAGGGGTATAGACACACATGCACACGCACACAGGACTGAAACACACCTGCAGAAATGATGCATACTCCTTAAAGCCCACTACAGACAAGTATACAGGGACGTAGCAGAGGCAGTTTGGCTTCTGTACACTCTCTGAATGTTGATGTAAATGCTTGTGACAGATTTTCCTGGCATGTGTCACAGTTTGCTTCATTAAGTCGTGGTCTTTTACAGAAAAAGCTAAAACGAAAGGTCTGTTTGGAAACTGATAACGCTACAGATTTTGGCTCGTATTAGCAGAGGTTAACCTGGCGGGAAGTCAGACTGACGTTTAACCACCTTTTCATAAACTGCAACACCACTGCATGTAACCAACGCAGATACGGAGATGCACAAAAAGTCGAATCTATGTCCGTTCCTGCCAAAAAGACCATAAATTTAGATGCAAGTGTGTGCCGAAGCCATACCTGAATGCAAACACACTCACCACGTTATTCAGTATACACACACACATCCTTACCAAGGCCAAGGATGGGGTGATGCTCCACCAGCGTCCAGGCGTTGTCGTCCAGACAGTGGCTCTTGTAGACCAGGAGCTGACACACATCTCTGGCCGTCATGTCCGCCGGGATCTCCACCACCTTACCGGCCCCATCCTCGCTCCACACCTTCACTATCTGAAAACACACGGGGATAATAACCGGAACATGTAAATAAGAGCACTGAGGGTTGCGTTGTGACAGTCTGCAGAAAGTCTAACAACGTTCGGAGGGCGTGACGCATCCCGAGCCACTTTCGGGAATTTGAATCCGCAGAGAAAAGGGAGAATGTGACGGATCAGAGGCTTCAACATTTACCTCCATAACCAGGTGTATTTGTCAAGTCCAGTGTTAAAGCTCCTGTTCACATTATTCTATCACTCCAACATGAGAACTGCTTTAAAAAAAAAATAGGATGACGTCCAGGAAAGGTCGGCCGGCCCCCTGAGCGCTCAGTTCAACCCTTTTGTCTGCAGCTCAACCAAACTTACTCACACGCACATCCGCGAACATGTGTGTAAACCTGCTTGCACACAAACCACAGTGACATGTTTCCTGTCACATGCAAGAATATCCACAATCGGAAGAGTAGAGCAAACCACATATTCACACTCCGACGGTGAAATAACGCGGTGCGTTTACACGTGTTGCATTTTGTCCTTAAACATGTCACCACTGGGAGCAGCAAGTGGCCACAGCTCAGCGCCAGAGTTCCTCCCATTGTTGCACCATTTTGAACCATTTCAGCAAAGTGCCCAAAGAGACATTTAAACCGGGCGTAGTTTTGTCTTCTCTGAGTGTGTTGCTACACGGAGAACCACAGACCAGCTGCTTCACACCACTGTATGAGCAGACTCACACACACACACACACACAGCTCACACATGCAGCACAACACAAACACGAACAGGCAAACGAACATGGGGAAGTGGCTGCAAACCACAAAGGCGACTCAGATTATCTTCCAAATATCAGAGAGAAATTGTGTGTGTGTGTGTGTGTGTGTGTGTGTGTGTGTGTGTTTGTGTGTGTATCCTCACACACCCACATACTCAACATCTTCTGTCCACAGCAGGGATTCTGCTGCCCGACACATCGCACAAAACCAGCGGGCAACAACTGTTGAAAATTACATGAATTGAGACACAAAGCTAGTGATGGGCAAGGGCCGGAGGGGGTGGTGGTACGGAAAATGAAGTCGAACAATGGCAACACAAAGTGGAAACACCAAAAAACGACAGCGACAGCGGCCCAGAAATGACACAAAACACCAGAACGGCAACATGAAGAGAGACTTTGAATGCATCCAGAAACAACGTCACAGCGCTCTGTGGCCCTGCAGAGCCAGAAGACTCCCTCCTCTCATCCCTCACGCCCCCGCCAGGAAAAAAGTGATTTCATGATACATGAGTTTTGTTTGAGAAAAGTTTGAGAAACACTGAGGGGAGGAAAAATGCAAAGGTCCTCACCGCTGCAAACTGATAACCCACACACACACACACACACACACACACACACTGAGCTCCCGACGGACATCCAGAACAGAAAAGGACGTGCGCACAAGTCTCTTACCTCCACAGCCTGAAAGAGGCAACAGTCTGGAGAGCAGGATGGCATTTTCACACTGAGACGCTCTCCAGTGACACGGAGAGACAGAGGGAGAGAGGGAGGGGAGGAGGAGGAGGAGGAGAGGAGAGGGAGGGAAGGAAGTCAGGAAAAGAGAGAGGGAGGGACAGATTGGCAAGGAGAATGCGAGAGAGGTAAGAGGGAAGCGAGGGGGGAGGAGGGAGGAAGTGACAGAGGAAGGACGAGGGTGAAAGAGAGACAGAGCGCGCGCTCGTGCGAGAGAGACAGCCTGCCCCTTCTTCTTGTGCTGGGCAGCATAAAGGCTGAGCTGCGAGGAGTGGTATGAGCCACTGCTCTCCTCCTTCTCCTCCTCCTCCTCCCCCCCACCCCCGCCTCCCCCTCCTCCTCACACTGGATTAACCCAGTGTGGGATTTTTAAACGGTGAGCTGCTACCTGTCACGTACTCTACACTCTTATCTTCAGGGCTGCGGTCAAATCTCCTCATCCCCTCCCGAAAAAAGCTCGCCATCAGCTCCTCTTACTGAAGGCGCCGCACCAAAACTAACAGTCTCTCCCCTAAAATACGCCCACAACTCCCCACACACACATGGATGGAGGGGAACAAGCTCAAACTACTAAGCCAATCACTGAACACACACACACACACACACACGCATCCCTTACTCTTATGCATCCCCTGACATTTTCTTTGAGCTGCCTGACGGTTTTAATTTCTACCCCCTCCCTCTCATCCTCCTCCTCCTCCTCTTCATCCTCCTTCCTCAGCTGTATGTGAAATACTATGCGAGAGTGTCAGGACCAGAGCAACATGTGTAACGCACACTGACGGCTTTGAGGTCTGCTAAGGAGGCACTTGAAAGAAAACGGTGGGGTGATTCGATCTGAAGCCGTGGGGATCACGTGTCAGGCGTTTGGGCTTTTGCTGAGGGGGTCAAGGGAGGGGTAGGTGGGGGGGCATGGGGGGGAGGTGGTTGCTCAGCAAATCTGCCCGGCCGAGAGAGAGAGAGAGGGAGATAAAGAAAAAGGAGGGAGGATGGGAGCGAGAGGAACAGAGAAAGAGAAAAGAACTATGGAGGAATGTCAGTAATGCAATACTGAGTCATAATCAGGCTCATGTGTAGAGCGCAGGCCAACCCAGCTGGCCCCTAATACAGTGTGCATGAGAACTATGAGCCATACACACACACACACACACACACACACACAAACATAAACACACATTCTCAAAAGAGGAAGACAAAATGTAAACTATGACAACCAGCTCCGGCAGGTTTTTGACTTTACTGTGAAACTACATCACTGATTTTGTTGCAATTCTGTTTTCTTAAATTAATAATTTATGCATTTATTTGACTAATTTGTCATATCGTTATCGCAAAAATACCCTGAAATATCGTGATATTATTTTAGGGCCATATCGCCCACTCCTACTCACAACTGCTCCTACCCTTGGAGTCGTTCAAATCCTCAGCGTTTCACCATGTTACATCTTTACATGATTAAATTAAACTCACCTTGACTCCCCCCTCGTTTCCCCCTCCTCCACTTCCCTCTTTTCCTGTCCACCAGAGGAGGGTGAGGGGTGGAAATGCACGGGGTTAGCACTTAAAACACACACACACACACACACACACACACACACACACATTAAGAGGGCTTGGAGCCGCAGCATATTGGATTGAGGGGTCATGGACGGACACCTGCATGCCTATAAACACAGACATACACATACAAGCACAGTACGCTCGGGGTCAGAGGTCAAACACAATAATCTGCGCCAGGGTCAGCCCCACTTGACCGGGAGGTTTATGGGCCCCTAAACCTATCATACAAGCTAACACAAGAGCACAGACACACACAAGTGATCTGGTTGTTTTAAGCTAGAGTAGATCTCGACCACAGTAACACCACCCACTGACTGTAAAGGCAATCTTGATTGACTCAGGGGGGAGGGGGGAGGGGGGAGGGGAAGTGACGGCCACAAGGTTTTTATTTTCATGTATAAGAAGCATCTCACTCCTGGAAAGGTGGTGTTTTCATAAAACTAGGCTGTGTATGCAGCAAGCCTAATTTACATTGTCACATACGTAACGCGTACGTGATACGTATGTGACGCGCGGGCTGATCCATGATTTTAACCGTGGATCAGTCCGGTGTTTTTAAACGTCGCCACTCAAGACAAGACACACCTTCAAAGAAAGTAGCCCTGTTGTACTGGAAATACAAACCCCTGCTGTGCTGGGCCGATCGTCTAAGTCAAGTCAACCCATGACTGTTGAAAAGGGGTATAAAACCCTCATTACTAATGTCTGTGGCGGTGGCGACTTCCCACCCCACTCTGTTACAGCATCAGTCGTCTCTCATGTCAGCGAGTGGTCGGGTTTCAGCCAGACAGAGCTGATTAGCTCTGCAGACAGGCCAAACTCAATTTTACCTCACCGGAGCGCCACCACAAAGCCTCACTGAGTGGCTCTCCTCCCCACATCCCCACGACCCGACACTGACACGACACACTCAGTTACATGTGCACACAGTCAGACAGAGAGCCTCCCGTGACTGATACACATCTACCAGTCAGTTCTGGGAATCCCTTCGCATGTTAATATCAGCATAAGAATAAAGTCATGTGGGCGGTGGTGAAATCGATGCAGTGAAACAGAAGATGAATCTCTTTTTGACCTGGCAGATATTAAAATAATAAAAAAAAACTTGAGGAAATTTGGCAGAAAAGTTTACACAGTGATTTATTTTTCCATGCAAAGATCCCGTCCTCACATCATCCTTCATCTGATTTGTCTGAGCAGGAAACTAAAAGCTCTCCATCCCCAGTTCCACAGCAGAATGAAAACCTGCTGTTTGGTCATGTTCAACATATCATCGATCTTACGTGATAAAAATCGAGAGGAGCAAAGGGTGTGTGTAAACTCCGTCTTCAGGAATTAACATTTAACCTTGTGTTCATGAATTTTAAGAATGGTTTCATCAGTGCTGCAATCACATGCTAACCATCACAATTTCTGGCTCCGAAATTACCTCAAACAAGAAGTCAGTCACTCAAAGAGGCCCATCTCTAATCATGTGTAACTTTAAGCCTTGATAATATATAAACAGGTGAGTTATATAAAACTTCACCTCCTTCACGGTTGTCACAAACGGGAAATTTGCTACTGGGACCAAAACATTTTTTTGTACCAGGCTGTAAACACATTTATTTCTGCAGTAAAGTTGTACATTTACATGGAGGTCTAAGGGGATTGACTCACTCTTGGAGCCAGCCTCAAGTGGCCATTAGAGGAACTGCAGCTTTTGGCACTTGTGCACTGACGTCACTATCTCAGCGCTGGAGGTTGCTGCTCGGAAAAAACTGAATGTAGCAGCAGTTCTAGGGCTTTACCGACTCCGTTTTGGCTGTTCAACACGAATATTGAACTATTCCTTTCTTTTTTCCATATAGAGCATTTTAACAGAATTTGGTGGGATGTTGACGCAGTTAGCAAGCCAAGTTAGTCTCAAAAGCTAATGGCGGCCAACTACACTTATAATGGGTCAG